ATTTTTGTATGGTCAGACCAATAAATCAACTAATCAAGAACGTTGACGTGGTGTATAGAACTGGTTTGCTAACTTACTAAAAATGTGCTTTTGTATCTATGCAATGACTTTCTCTATGACTCCTAAAACATGAACAGCTAAGCAGTAAAATTAATCACATAAATTATGCAATAAAACAAAATAAAGCAGTGGCTTGGGAATTGTTTATGCTAAGTAAAATTGTACCCTGTAAAATCTTATATTGTGAGAGCAATGTGTAAATTTCATTGCAACAGTGTTTTAATTCACTGATGAAAATGAAAAAAAATCATGAAAAACTGTCTATTTATAATACATTAAATTATTTATAATAACATTCACATTAATAGTACTGTAAACATATTTGTAAGAATGAAATGGGTATTATTAAAATAATTTTTAAATATCACTTTTTTCTAAAATGAAACACTAAATATTAGAGTGACACTGTATGGATAATATTTATGATAGTTACTTTTAGTAGTGTATCAGGCCACTTCTTATTAAGCACCTATTTTTTGGTGACATGCTGATGGATAATATGTAGCTTTATCTCCATTAAATTGAATTGATCAATTGAGAGAATTGTCAGAAAAAATTATAAAAAAATATTCTTACTTTTTAAATTCTCACTTGAGGATATGTTTTCCATTGCTTTTAAGAAAGAGTGGAAGGGAGAGAGAAGCATTGATATGACATCAACTGGTTGTCTCCTGCATGCAACTGGAATTGAACTTGAGAACCCTTATGGTCCTTGTGCCAGTGCTCTAGCCACTGAGCCACACCAGCTAGGGCTTCTTTTACTTTTCAAAGACGAGCAATTTAGGTTACTTTAACTAGAAGGGCACTTACATTTTGTATTGGTTTTATAGGAAACACATGAGTCAAATTCATCATTTCCCAAATTAATTCAGACATCTTGTAGCATCCCATGGAATAAAAGTTTATCCAATTTAGCAAAATGACCTAACAAAATAAAGCTTCAGGTCCAATCTGGAATTCTGATTTCCTTAAGAATAAGATTAATCTATTTGCTCAAGTGGATAAAAGCACTAGATCCTCACCTAAATTGTCTTTTGAAGCTCACAAGAAAAAAAGTTTGATAAGAGTAAAATTTGAGGAGCACTACAGACCAAAAAGTTGATCCATATTAATTTGTGATGCTGAAAGATAGCAACTTGCTTCAGGCAAATCATGAAGTAAGCTTTTCCTTCTGAACTCTTCCAGCTCAGGTTTGTAACATTTCTCCTGTTGTGATTTATGCTCTGCCCGGATGCTCAGCAAGCTCTCCCACCTTATCAACAGTCAGAGTTAAATTAGCGATAGGTAGTTATTATTGCCCATTCGATAGTATTTGATGTAACAAAGAATATTTTGAGTGACTGTTTCTTGCCTATTCTGACTTTGATTAAGAATGATTACAGTAAATCAGCAGAAAGTTAATGGGTGGAAATACTTTGGTTTATGGACTTAACATATCTCCAACCATTAAATCACAAACACTTCAAATACATGCTTAAATTTCAGAAATCTTCTTGACTATTAGTGAACAACTTCCCAGATGTTTTCTCAGAGTAGTTAGTTCTTCAAAGTGATTTTTAAAAACATGAATGAGGTCATCATGATTGATGACCAAATTATGGTGGCTAAAGAGACCGCACTCAATAAACAAAAAATTTGTGCCCAGTCACATACAATTTAGAGCTTCAGAAATGTTGAAAATATAAGTTAAAATTATATTAACAGGATTTAAATTTTTAAAATTTGGGTATTTACTTAAAATTGGAACACTTCTTTATTTTAATTTTATACAAAATTAAGATTACAGATACTTTTACTTAAGGAGAAAACATTGTTTATTCTATTAGCAGAGATCCTTTTGCTCCCTTTAAGATAACTGTCTTAGGGTAACTTATACATGACTTTCTAGGAAATTATTTTTCTTATATTTGCCCCTTTACCAATCATATACTTGTTTTTATATAAGTAATTGTAATTAAAGAATAGATCCAGTGTGTGATACGGGAGAGGTGTAGGCCCTCAATACCTTTCAAAAATATTAATTGTTAAAGTGTAAGATGTAGTTTAAGTTATTGAGTCCACTTAGCAGTTAACAACTTCTGCCCACTATTAGTCCCATTGCATGGCCCTATAATGACCAATGACACTCAATTATTTGATTATAGATGTGTCCTAGCGTCAAACCAGAATACTTTAAAAGATAGACAGTGCTAAGGAAATTGAGATCATTATTTTAACTTTTTGGAAATGTGCTTTCACTCACTGATATAGTAAACAGTGTGGAATAACAGTGTTTAAGTGTGAAAATATATAAATATATTTAAAAGTTAGGAGGAGCCCGGCCGGGCGTGGCTCAGCGGTTGAGCGTCGACCTGGGATCCAGGCGATCGGGGTTCGATTCCCGGTCAGGGCACATGCCCGGGTTGTGGGCTCAATCAATGACTCTCTCACCATTGATGTTTCTATCTCTCTCCCTCTCCTTTCCTCTCTCTGAAATCAATAAAGATATATTTTAAAAAAATAAAAATAAGTTAGGAGGAAACTATAATAATGGAAAAATAAAATATGGCAAATAGTAAAACAAAGGCGAGGTAGTTCATGAGGAAACAGATACTACATGTAATATTTCAAGAGCTTTTTTTCTGTGGGACACACCACAGAGAAAATGATAGATTATTCAATAAGAAAATTGCCTCCAATGAATTATAATAAAGTATTTTTAAATGTCTGGCTTGTAATAGAGTTTACAACCTTGGAGATTAAAAATGAGGTATTTATATGTTTCTGTGAAGAACTGCAGGTAGTTTATTTCCTTGGTGACCAATGGTGAAGTGAGGAAGCAGGTAGAAGAGAAAAATTCCCTACATCTCGTCCAGACCTTTGACCATAAATTAAATATTTTTGTGATAGTTAGGTTGCCATTAGGAGTGCTAACATCCTCCATTGTTTTACTTATACACTGATTTTTTATGACTTTTATAAATGGTATAAAATTGTATTTATCAGAATGATTTTAGGTTATGTTGGCTATTGTGATTTAANGTTAAACAGAATGATTTTAGGTTATGTTGGCTATTGTGATTTAAGCTACAGTAATATATAATATATTGAAAGTATAGACTAAGTTTCTAAATTTTATTTATTCACTGTCATTGTTCACCCTTAAACAACCATTAAATAAGGTAGTAATATCCTGCATATTATATTTAATGAGTGTATACCTCGTAAAAATAGTAATTTAAGCCAAAAATATTGAGAGCCTTATTACTATAGCTTTGATTAATCTATTTTAAAGAGATGGCTATTTAGGGTATTATTTTTTCTTTTCTAAGACATAAAATTTGAACGTGCTATATTCTTAATGTTATTATATTTTCTTAGTATATAAAATTTACATATTTTCTCTCATAATTAATTTAGCTTTGGGGTAAATCTTTGAAGAGAATATTTAGATACAATAAAGTTTGAAATAAAACAACAAAAAAAACCCCAGATACTTTCATCTCAAATATGTATGCTTTTCAAAATAAATATTCAGATCTAATTATTTTAAAAATGGCCTAAAATCTACATTTTGATTTTAATGTTCAAAATAGAACATTAAAACATATCTGAAGATTTGGGGACAAATGAAGTGAATTTTACTCTGGATTTAAATCAGGATAAACATGAGCAGAATGACAAGGTTTAAGTGACTAGAATTTGAGGTTAGTGTGACTTTGTTCTCTTAATATTTTTATAGTTAAAAATGCCTTGCAGTTCATATTTTAACCTTCAAATGTTAAGGATTCAAATAAAATAAATATAAAACTAAAATTCTAAAAGGGGAAGTCTTTTCAGAGAGATGGAATCATCTAATATACATATAAGCTTCTAAGGGGTTTAAAGAACCTAAATGTTGCACAAAATACATCTAAAATGATTTTCAGAGGATGTCATGTGTTTGAGCAAAGGGCCCATAACCAAAAGGCAGGTCAGGGGGGACACAGCCAGGAAGAAGTGTGTCAGCAACAAGCTGAGGTGTGGACGATAAAATAGTAATGCTAAGGCTGCTCTCTCTCCCCTCTTTCTCTCGCTCATACATAAGACAAATATTACACATATATACAATACATAAATATACATACAGACTTAAATATTGGCACATATACCCTCACAAATGTATATATGTAAATAAGCACACACATATGCAACGGTGCAATGATTTTAGAGCATGTAAAAAAAGGATGTTTCCTGTGCTTCAGGTAAATGAAAATCATTAAAAGCAAGCAAACAAACAAACAAATAAAAAAGAGTGAGAACTAACCAAATTACATTTTGTTATGACTTTTTTCCTCCTAACAAGAATAATCCTGGAATGAACAGAAAAGAAATTCAAAGCAGTTGAAATGTAAACATTGAACTCAAGGTAGACAAGGAGATAAACTGCTTGTTTTCAAATTTTAACATTATGGCCCAGGTAATTTATAAGCTAGTGCACTGATAATTTTACCAGTAATGGCAAAGAGAGCAGAGAAGAGAAGTTGACATTTTCCACAGAAGGAAAAAAAATCTCCTCTGTGAGCTTAATATAGATTCTGAGAAAAAACTTAGAAATATGTTTTGAATAACATAGAAATTACAAAAAGCCTATTATTCTTTATTCTTTAAAGTAAATGTATTTATATTTTTTTTTAAAAATTAATATTTATAATGGGAACATTAGCAACAACAGTTACAAATTTTGAAAAACATTTCTAGAGTAATAAAATGAGAGGAATATATTTTAATTGAAGAAGGCATTTCCATAATTCTACACAACTCTCCTTTGAACAAGAAAGATAAATGTTGGCTGGATGACATTTCTAATGGGTAGTAGAGTTCATGATTTTTATTGATCATGATAGAGGCCTCTGGTAGTGTTTTGAAGGGCAATATCTGTTTACATATACACAACATGGTATTGATTGCTGAGTTTGTTACCTCATTTCTAGCTCTAACAGCCTACACAGGTAAAATTATTCCAGTTTCACAGATGAGGAAACTGAGTTTCAAAGTGGCTAAATAACTGTCTTCACATCTGGAGGCTACTAACTGCAGAACTGGGTTTCAAACTCAGGTCTGCATACTCTCCCATTGTATCTCCTATGAAGACAAAAGATATAAAATATCAAACGTGTGGTAACATAAAGCTGGGAAGCTGTGTTAAAACAGTGAATGACAGAATCAAGAGCTGGAAAGTGGGGATTATGGGTCTGAACAAAAATGATGAAATTCTCTTGAAATTAATATTAAGTATGACAGAAATTTTCAAAAATCAAACATGTATAGACCATGTAATTAATATCATAAAGTTTGGTGTGGGCTCTATTAGTCACTAGTATGGTGAAAAAAATAAATGTAATTTTAGGCTGCATTAATGGATATATAGACAAGAAAAAAGAAGAGAATAGACTGTTGCTTTCAACTGTTAGAGGACATTGAGAGTAGGGTTCTCAATGTTAATCCTGGATGCCATGTTCTAAACATGTTGAGAACCTGGCAAATGTTGAGTGATATGTTTGTTTTTGTTTACATGCTATTTTTGTATAGCATAATTATTCTATGAGAGCTTTATAAAAATTCCCAAAGAATACTGGCTCATAAGAAATAAAATGTCCTAGTCTCAATTGTGGCTGAGAGAAATGGTTCTAAATAGCATATAAATTTCCAAATTATATTTTTATACCTGGAAAATATCTACTTTATAAATTGCACAAAGTTGTAGTTTTTTAATGAGAATGCAAAAGTGCTTACATTAACACTTTTTATATCCATACCTATTCTTGAGGATAATGTGTATTTTCCAAAAATGTATAGTCCCAAATTTTTATTGTGCTTTTACAAGATGCTTTACTTTGATGACAATAAATGCTGAAATGGTTCCCTTAAGAAGAAGAATTTTAAGTGTAAGCTTTTTAGTCAGTTTAAGGTATACAGATTGAGACATTACTTAAAGTATATACCATATTTTGTGCTTGAATCCTGTGAGCATCTTATTTTCATAGCAATTAAATAACTATTCATGTCACATCCCAGTCCTTTTCAATGGATATTTATAACAGAGAAAATAATGTATTTTTAAAGAAACTTACTTCAAAGAGAGAGATCACATAATGCTTACTTAAAAGCATATTGAATATAATTAAACCTAATAACTGTCTTTTTACTCTATGCCTGAGACATAATTACTGAAGCCTCATACAGAATTTTTAAGCATAGAAAAAACAACATTAAAACATGTGAAAAACGTTGGCTCAGATTTTCTTTTTGAAAGAGAAAGTTATTTGCCCCCCCCCGATCCTTACTAGAGAAGCTTTCTTTGCAAAGTCTTTTCCTTAGAAAACTGACCCACTTTCAGCCTATAAAGAAAACATAGAGACATTCTTAAGTGGTTGACCAGATGATTCAAACCTGATTTTGGTAATGAAAGGATCAAATTTAAGATTAAATGTAACCTCTCCGGATTACATTTGCATTTATAATTCTCTAGCAAACATCCAATTTCACCGTTACCCTCAGCAATCTTTCTTGAAGTGTTTTCTAGAGATCAGTGTCAATGGCTGGTTTTTGGAGTCACTCCCAGAAGAAAATGTAAAAGTGTACAACTCACTTTATGGAGTCTGCCTACTCCTTGGTGTTACATGTCTTTGTTGCATATCTTTTATCATTGAAAGCACAGAAAAATGTTTTGTTTTGTAATTTCTGAGATAAGTGTAGAATACTATATAACTAGCCAGCTAATAAAGAGGGTAAGAAAAGCCAAGAAAACAGAGTATCTTTAAGTATGTGGCAAGTATTCTCCAAATCCGTGTAAAAATAATAGTTTAGTGGCAGTATTCCTCTTTTCTATGACTTTAAGACTTAGATGTGCTACAAAGTATTAATATTTATAGGTTCATATTTTCTCTAACACTATAGCAGCTGGTTGCAAAAAAACAAAACAAAACCACAACTATTGTATCAATTAAAGAAAAATATTTTCCAATAGTTTCTCTGAGTTTCTAATTTAATTGATTTGGAGAGAATGAAGAAAATAATATCCAATCTTTTTTTGTACTGTAGCATACAAGTGAGTCCTAAGGATTTTGTTTCAGGATGAAAGAAAGAACAAGAAGAATTTATCTTTCCTTCTCAGTATCACAAGCCTAAACTTCACACATACACATATATACACACATATCCATATATTTGAGTTTCTCCATAAACACACGTAGAGTATTCTGCACTTCATTCTATCATAAATCCCTTCATCTTTGTTGTTTGTGAAAAGTAGAAAGGATGAGACAAGCTCAGGATATTCTAAAAAACAACCATTTTTTAGGATGCACTATGGTGTCCTGAATTGCTTTAATGGACAAATGGTGTGGTCACAATTGTTCTCATAGTAAAACTTAGTCAAGTTTGCTTATCATTTGGGTACACATACCACACAAACATCATTTAGAACACTTTAGGATTACTCCACAGAATGGTAATAGGATTTATGGAAAAATTATACCAACTGTTTCCAGACAGCATAACTTACTGAGATTCATATATCAGAGAACAGAAAGCATACATTGTGTTAGAAGCAATCTCTACGCCACAGAAAAGACATTGTGTGGCTGTCAGAATATCTATCTCTCACTTCTGGCTTTGCTATGAACTCGCTCTGAGTGTAGAAAAGGCAACTGATTTCTATGTTTCTTACTTTTCTCCTTTATAAGATGCCCATTTAAACTGCAAAAAAAGTATATGATAATCACAATGATTCCAATCACACAACTTTTAATACAAAACATATAAAATTAATTTCAAAATTTTTCTTTATATACTGAAAATGTTGATAGGAATGAACTAACTGTAAGACTTCCTTAATTTCTTCTATTAAATGCAGGTACCCAATGAAACCTGAAAATATTGAGCATAACTAGTAAATTTTTTTGCAAAACTAGGAAAAGACTGCTTCCCACAGAAAATTTATTAATAACAGGTGCTCAATTAAGTATTTTTATACAATGATCAATGTCCCCTTTCATATAAATAATCAGAGAAGAAATTCTGTAGGGTTTTTTTCTTTCTATAGCCCCACCTGCACACAAAATTGTGTTGTAAAGACATAATTTCTATGAGGAGGTATTCATTGTAGATGTACAAGTGTCTATAGAAACCTAGGTTTACAAGAAAGAAGGATAGATTATCATTTAACCAACTGCGTATTCACACAGATGCTTAATAAAAGCTATCTGATGATATAATAAATTACCAATTCTTGAGGAGGTGTACACAGTTGGCAACGATTTTTCAAGACTTACCCTCCAATAAACCAAATTTTCTCTTTTAAAGTCCTTCATGCCATTTTTTTGACATTCAGTTGAAATTTTGAAATTAACATAACATTAAAAATATAAATAAAAGCATTAACTGTGAACTTATATTCAACTTTAGAAGTTATAATAAATACAAATGTATATTGAAGTAAAATTATGACAGTGTATAAATCAAAACTGCCAAGATTGACTTTTCTTTTAAAATATCCCATCTGTTGCTTTACCTCCACAGGACAAAGGTAGCAAAAGAGGAAGGTAACAAAAAGGAAAACAGAAAGACCTATTTCAGTGACTGGACATACTGATTTAATTGGCTAAAAAGTCCAAATGCTGATACTCCTAATAATCAGCCATTCTTTTTGTGTTTTGGTAACGTGTATCCTTATACAGTCTATATTAAAAGGAAGGTTTTGATTCACCTCTGACATTTCAAAGTTTCCATTTTTGAATTCCCCTAGTCTTCTGTAAAATTCACATCGTCTAATATTTTTGAAAACTGTAACATTTTTCCCAACATATAGGGCTCCATGATGCAAAATGTCATTTTGCCGATCTTCTGTTCCAGTATTCACTTTAATTTTTTTAATTACAGTTGGTTTTTCAAACATAATTTCAAAGATGTCTCCTGCTGAGGGTGGTTTTCCCCAAAAGTACTCATCAACACTACTATAAGCCTTGCTTGCATCATAATTTTCAAAAACATTCATACTGGTGTACAGATTTGCAGGAGGGTTATCAGGGATGTCAAATAATTCCTCTTCAAAATCATCATCCTTCAGCTTATTCTCAGTCCCTTTATATGATGAATAATAACCCATGTGTTGAAAGAGAGATGGTTTAAAACGAATCACATTTTTCTGAGCCAGCAGACCCCGGAAATGAGACAATAGCCAATCACAAGGCATTTCTTGATAAAACATTAACAAAAAATGTGCCAAACGTGGGAGATCATGTGAATGATAAAGTTTTCCAATGTAGCCAAGCTTAGAAAACTCAAGAGTTACCCAGTAAGTTCCTTCTAGGGATGTAATGACTTTCTTGATGGCAGTTAAGAAATTTTTTGAGCATCGGACATCATCTTCAAGCATTACATAATAGTCCGAAATATTGGCACAAAAATTAATCAGAAAAGCATAATCTACATTTTGCTTAGAACGAAATCTGACTCTGCTTTCTGGATCATTATAATTTCTTTTAAGGCCATCCAGGACTGGATAATATTCCTCTGGAGCATGTATCACTATTAATCTTCCTGCAATAATATGGTGGGAAAATTTCTGTGTAATGTCCTGGACCATGACCTCACGCCAGGATGAATTAAAGTCTGCTAGGTAAACCACCACTGAGATTTCCTTCAGCTCTTCATAGCTGGATTGCTCAAAAATTGACTTGATTGTCTCAAGTAAGTAGTTTCCTTTTTTTCGTTTCACTGATGAAAGTCCGATTGTAAGAAACCCTGAGCAAAAGAATTCAGAAGGATGACAAATTAAATGTAAAATAGGTTTTGAATAACATAGAAAAAGAAACAGTTCTTTCTCCCCTTAGGCCTGCTCCTATATTAAGTAAATCTAGTAAGTGATTATGTATAGAACATTTTGTGATTAAAATATTATGCTAAACACTTAAAAGCTATAGTAGTTTATACATAATTGATATTGCTTATGGAAAAAACTCATCTTAAGCACAATGATGTATGAGTTCTATTGCTGCAAACATTTCTTTATGAAATGAAAAATATGGTTTCAAGTGTTCTGCAGTTTAATGTTATATATATGTATACATATATATGTATTCTGCATATAAGTGTTCTGCAGCTTAATATTATATATATATATACACTCAAGAAGATACATATTTAGATAACATCCATGCTATTAAAAAAACAGCCCATCAGTAGATGAGTGGATAAAAAAGCTGTGGGACATTTACACCATGGAATCCTACTCAGCTATAAAGAAGAAGGATCTCATACCCTTTGGGACAGTATGGATGGACCTGCAGAATATTATGCTCAGTGAAATAAGCCAGGCAGAGAAAGATAAACATCACATGACCTCACTCATATGTGANTTAAAAAAATAAATTAATTAATTAGTTTAAAAAAAATGCAAAAGGTGTAGGGAATTCACAGGTAAGGATGACAAACTAGTTTCAAATTATGAAAAAGAAAACTGAGAGTAACTCATTCTTTTGTCTTTAAATTTTTTATAGAACACATGTCATATTTTCATTTGTCTTTGATCATGGTTATTATCTTATATCAGAAGAATCCATAATTGGGCTTCAAAACTTTATTTTGAAATTTACTATGTTAATTAGAATTTAAACAATATTATAAGCTAATTTGGAAAAATGGCATTATTGCTCAAATGTATGGTACATTATTCTATGACATAAATATTACTGTTTATTTTGAAACACATTTTATATCTGGAGACATTCTTATTCAGATACTAAAATCTAAAATTAGAAAATGGATATTTTTAAGGAATAAAATAAAATCTGATGAAGTGGCATTTTTGCCTCTGAGAAGTGTTAGCTGTCTTTCTACTGAAATATTTTCACTTTTTAAAGTTTTCATTTTCACATGGCTGAGAACGGAATAAAATTTCAGAATCACTGTTTGGAAAATAGAAAAATATTTACATTCACCAAGATCACTGTTTTAATACAGATACCTACATAATATGAAATCTGCAATATTGAAAAAAGCTCTTCCAAGAAAAACCTTTCTTACTTGTCTGTAAGAGACGTAGAGATTTACACATTTTGTTTAAATACCTTACTTACAACCCTGACTTCTACTGAAATCCCAGTATGTTGTCTGGACCATTAAACTAAAGCCACCAGTCTTTATTATGCTCAATAATGTCAATACTTATAGAACGCTCTGTACATAAAAGGCAGAAGTTTATGCATTTTACTAGAAATATGCATCTTAATATTCATAACAGTCTTTTGGGATAGCTTTGTACGTGTCATTCCCGCTTCCTAGCTGAGGAAACTGAAGCTCAGTGAGATCAGGTAACTGCAAAGAGCAGCCCCTAGGAAGTGGTGTAGTAGCGAAACTCAAACTGTTCTGCTTTTTCTTCTGTTTTATGTCGCCTCTTTAGTATAACAGAGTTTGCATGTGTGTGAATATAAATTAGTAAACAGCATGAAAAATGAGAAATGAATAATATTTGAACAAAGGTGGTATAACAAATGTAGATTAAAAAAACTGTGGCAGTTTTATGCAATTAGACAGAAGCTTAAGAGCTGCAAAATAAGCCAGGCAGAGAACAGGTATCCCATGATCTCACTCACATGTGGAAGCTAAAGAACATAATAAACTGATGAGTGACATAGATCCAGTGACAGAAGCATGGAACAGAGGGAAGGTGGGGG